CCCTCCCTATGCCATTCCTGGCGCTTGTACACCAAAGGCAGCACAGGCTCCAAAATGTCCAATGAAGTTGTCTGCCAGGAAATCAGTTGTGCTGGGAGTTGATGCATAGCCTCAAGTTCTCCAATGAATATACGACTAGAAGGTTGACTTTTACAAGCATAGTCCACAAAAAGACCTGCTAGAGTCATTTTTTGTAGGATGTACTTACTGTGGGTCTTGTGCTCCACATGCTGTAAAAAAAAAAAAAGGATTCATCTATTACCAAGCAAATATTTGTCCTTGGGCCCTCCTGTCATGTGCCCCATCTTGATGTGTACTTTTCAATGTGGAGATTATGTATGTATATACATATATGTATATATACATGATGTATGCATGTGTATACTCTCACATATAATAAATATATTTTTATATCACAAAGATAAAATATAATATATGACATTATTAACATGTATTTATTTATATGTTCTGTATGTGTTACATATGTAATATATGAAAATATTCTGTGACATTTTGTTGTATAACATGACATATAATGTAGATTATATAACATTTCATATACACACACACATGTATATATATATTTACACACTTCTATATGACCTTCATATTGCTAAAAGATTTATAGAGAATTATGGAATATAGGAATGCTTGAGTTTCATGTCTCTGCAGACAGATGAAGAGGGACACGACATTGAAATGGGTTTTCCTTATAATGTTGAAGCCATAGAAATCCATAAAGTTGAGTTAACCATCATTCCTATGTTGGTTGGAGCTTTAATAGCATTAAAAGAACAGGAATTTGGAAGATTCCTCAATAAATAGCCTTTTTTTTCCCCAATTGTGTCCAACTCTTTATGAACCTATTTGGGGTTTTCTTGGCTAAGATACTGAAGTGGTTTGCCATTTCCTTCTCCAGCTCATTTTACAGATGAGGAAACTAAGGCAAACAGAGTTAAGTGAGTTGCACAGGGTCACATAGCTAGGAAATGTCTCAGGCAAGATTTGAACTCAGGAAGATGAGTCTTCCTGACTCCAGGCCCAGCACTCTATCTACTATGCCACCTAGATAAATAATAATCCAATAAATATCTAGTGGGTCTTTATTAATCTCTTATGGTTTCTTCCAGTTTCTGTCACTGGGGTAAAATATTCTGTTATAGTTAATATCATGAATCCCAGGAAGAAATTTATAGATCCTTTGAATATATAGATAAAGTGTTCATGAGCATTATAGAACAATTAGACATTATATTCTTTAGCAATTACTTGAAGAAATGCAATTAACATAATGTTTGGAAGACACTCCATCCAGCTATTACTAAATGCTATCACAGAGCTCTAGAAGAATATGAAGTTTTTGTTTTTAAATTATGCTTAGTTGAGCCAATATCAAAACTGGCAAGACTGTTCAGTGGGTTATGCAGCTAAAGTACTGAGTGTTCATTGAAGCTTTGATTTCTTAGGAATGCTACCTGTATATACTCATATACTCTAAATGGGGTCCCAGCCTAGTGTTTACCAAAATACAGTTCCTAGTCTTTGGGAATACTGGGACTTCAAAATTAACAGAACTCTAGAGTTAGTGTCAAGATGGAGGGATATCAAGAAGAAGTACAGCTTAGGTCCTCCACTATATATTCACCACAAAGATCTAGAAAATGTATCAGATTGAATTCTGATCAAGAAATCTAAGAAAAAATCACAAGTCATTTTTCCAGTCGAGATTGGCTTAAGGGGGCAGCTAGGTGGCGCAGTGGATAGAGCACCGGCCCTGGATTCAGGAAGACCTGAGTTCAAATCTGGCCTCAGACACATAACACTTACTAGCTATGTGACCCTGGGCAAGTCACTTAACCCCATTGCCTCGCCAAAACAAAAACAAAAACAAAACAAGATTGGCTTAAGGAGATAGATCTGTGGACACTAGGGATGGGGTCTAGCTAGGAGTGTTCCATGTGCCAATTCTCAGGGATTGAAAGAGTGCTGAGACTGGGTATGTAGTCAGGGAGCATCAGAGCAGGAAGAGATCCCGGGGATCATTGAACTAGCACAGTGTACAAGAACAGGTACTATCTGGCATCTCTTACCCATATATCCAAATTGGACATAGAGGGGGATCTGCACCTAGAGGTAGCAGTGAGTTCAATTTATGCCTTAATATGTGGTCAATTTTGTGAAGATTCCATGTTCACCTAAAAAAATAGCTATACTCTTTTCTGTTCCCATTCAGTATTCTCCATAGGTCAATCATGTCTGACTTTTTAAAAGTTCTATTAAGGTCCTTTCTTCCCTCCTTCCTTCCTTTCTTTTCTTTTGATTATTTTTTTTGTTAGATTTACCTAAGTCTCAGGGGTGTGGGTGTAAATTGAGGTCCCCACTATTATAGTTTTATTACTTATTTCTCCCTATAATTAATTTAACTTAAGAATTTAGATCTACATGATTTGGCACATACATGTTTAGTATTGATAATTCATTGTCTATGGTACCTTTCAGCAAAATATAGTTTCCCTGGTTATCTTTTTTAATTAACCTGTTTTTGCTGTTGCTTCATATGGAGTTATGATTGCTACCTCTACCATTTTTTTTACTTTAGCTGAAGCATGATATAGTATTCACCAGCCCCTTATTTTAACTCTATGTGTATTTTTTCAACTTCCATTGTGTTTCTCATAAATAACAAATTGTTGGATTCTGGTTTCTAATCCATTCTGCTATCCTCTTCCATTTTATGGATTAGTTCAACCCGTTCACACTTACAATTATGATTTTTTAGTTGTGTATTTCTTCCTATCCTATTCTTATGCTTTCCCTTCTCTTTTTTTCTTAACCACCTTGAAGGGTTCATTTTACTTTTGACAAATTTCTCCCTTGATCCACCCTTCCTCTTATCCTCCCTTCTCTTTTTCTTAACCCTTTTCTCTGTTTTCTCTTTAGGTATTTCTGTACCCAGCTCTATATGACTGTGTGTATTCCTCCTTTCTTTGACTAGTTCACATAAGAGTGAGGTGTAAGTGTCATACCCCCAACTTCTCCTTGTTGTATGAACTTCTTTGCGCATACCCCATTTATATAAGGAGATAATTTCCCCCATTCTTCTCCCTTTACCCCTTCCCCAGTGTATTCCTCTTCCTCTCCCTTTCTTCTTTTGAGATAATCAAAAGGCCTTCTTTCTAATTAAACTCCCTTTATGATCCCCGATACTGATAAAGTTCAGAGGGGATTACATATATTATCTCCTCTCATAATATTTTAAGCAGTTTACCCTTTTCTGCTTCTCTTGGTTCCTGTGTTTGTATGTTACATTTTCTACTCAGCTCTTCTTTTGATAAGGAGTGCTTGAAAGTCCTTTATTTTGTTAAAGATCAACTTTTTCTCCTGCATGTAGGCTTATACTCAATTTTGCTGGGTAAGTTATTCTATGTTGTAAGCCTGGATCTTTTGCCTTCTGGAATATCATATTCCAAACTCTCCCCTCCTTTTAATGATTGATCAATTGATTGGTGACTCTTGAATCTTGTGGGATCCTGACTATGGCTTCCTTCTTTCTGGCTGCTTGCAGTACTTTTTCTTTGAACTGTGAGCTCTGGATTTGGGCTGTAATATTCCTGAGAGTACTGCTATAGGACTTGGGAGAATTTCATTGGTTCATGGGAACTTCAGTTAAGGTTTGACACAGACTAAGGTGATTGGGCTAAAAACTATATGCCTTATTTTATTTTTTGCAGTAACAATATCACAAACATAATGCCTCACTCAATGTCATCTTGCTTTTATTTTTTGTTTAAAATAATGATGGCTGACTTTGTGAGTCCAGTATTAATGGTTCTGCATTCCATTATTGCAAATAATATTGGACAAATAAGACTAATGTCATATTAGTACAATGCCTGGCATGCATTATATGCAAAGAGATGGGTTCTTTAATAAAAGCTTATTGAGGTGAGCAGGCAGACTTCAGAAAAACCTGGAAAGACTTGAATGAATTGATGCTGATTGAAGTGAGCAAAACTAGGACAACACTGTACATAGTAACAGCAACTTTGTACAATGACCAACTTTGTTAGACGTTGCTCTCCTGAGCAATACAATGATCTAAGACAATTCCAAAAGACTCGTGATGGAAAATGCTATCCACATCCAGAGAAAGAACTATGGAGTCTGAATGCAGATCGAAGTGTACTGTTTTCTCTTTTTTGTCGGTTTTTTTGGGTTTTTTTTTGTTTCTTGTGGCTTTCCCCCTTAGTTCTGATTTTTCTTTTACAATATGCCTAATGTGGAAATATGTTGAATATGATCATACATGTATAGCCCATATAAGATTGCATACTGTCTTGGGGAGAGAGGTGTAGAGGGAGGAGGGAAAATTTTAGAACTCAGAATCTTATAAAAGCAAACGTTGAAAATTAAAAATAAATAAATAAATAAAAAGTTAAAAAAATGCTTATTTATAAATGCTATTAATGGTATGTCTTTCCATTGCACTTCTACTTTTGGCAAAATATTTCCCTTTTCATTATTCTTCATTATATCCTCATTAACTAGCAAAGTTTTTTGAACATATTAAGCACTTATATGTTTATTTTGAGTTGTATTCACAAATGTGTCATTCTGATACTTTATTTATTTATTCTTTTGGCAACTGGGGTTAAGTGACTTGCCCAGGGTCACACAGCTAGTAAGTGTCAAGTGTTTAGTCTGCAGCCGGATTTGAACTCAGGTTCTTCTGACTTCAGGGCCAGTGCTCTTATTCACTGTGCTGCCTAGCTGCCCCATTCTGATACTTTTAAAGGTGACACAATAGACCTTCACATTTTATTTCACTTATATATTGGGCATTCCGAAAGTCTTGGTGCAGTTTTTATCTTTTTTATTTAAAGAGAATTTCAAGACCATTGGCCATCTTAAAATTAAATATTTATTATGAATATCTTTATATTCCTAGTTAACCTAAATGATTCGTTACCTATTCTTCTTTTTAATTGTCATTTCATTAGCAAATTGTTTGGAAGAGAAAACTACCTGGCAGCTATTAATGCTTATAACTTGGCAATTCGATTAAACAACAAGATTCCATCTTTGTATCTGAATCGTGCTGCTTGTCACCTCAAACTTAAAAACCTACACAAGACAATTGAGGATTCTTCCAAGGTAGATTGTCAAAATAGTTTATGTTGTTAATTTCCTATTTATTTATAGCTTTTCATGATAATTACATTCCATGATAATTTCAAATAATTGAGTTTGCTAGGACTCATTAAATATTTTTAAAAATAGAGTAAAAGCTGATGGAGGTCTCAAAATTGTTAGAAATTTGCTGATCTATGAAATCAGTAAATCTATAAAAGTAACATATTTTTTGTATCGATCTGTCATTTTGTGAATAAGATCAAAAACTTGTCTGTAACTTATAGCCTTTGGGAATTGTTGGTGTTTTAAGAGGTTAAGAGATGTACCCATGGTCACATAACTAATACATTTTATTAATATTATAGGATAATAAATTTTAGAGCTAGAGGAGATCTTAAGGATAGATAGCTAGTCTTTATTTTACAGAAGTAAGTTGATCTGCTAAGGTCACAGGGGTAGTAAATGGCAGAGCTGGGATCTGAATCCAGGTCCTCTGACTCTAAATCCAGTGTTCTTTCTACTTTGTTATGCATAGAGATAGGACTTTAGCCTGGGTTTTCAGGACTCTGAGGCCGTCCCTCTATTACACAACGCTGCTTCTCAACAAAAATACATACATTCATATATATGTGTGTGTGTGTGTGTGAAACTAAGCACTTCAGCTACTTAACATCCAGCACATACTGAATATCTCATATGTGCATGACACAGTGATGAAAAAAAAAAGACATTATCTTTGTAAATTTTTGAAACCTGCATGGGAATACTGAAGTGTAGAATGTAACCCCAAATGGGGTCATGAAGCGTTGAACACAACTGAAATGACTGAACAACAACAACATAAAGTTTCTGAGAAATTAATGTACAATAGAAATTATTTTATTTGGACCAGTATTAGGATTCATCCAGGACCATCTGGGCTCTGGAAAGCAGCCAAAAACAACTCATCTGGAATAATTTTCTTTATTGGGGGGCACAGCTGGAGAACAAGTTCATTGTTAGGGGTGGGGTATGCTACTTCCTGTAGGCTGTAAAGAAATCTACCAGCCACATTAATATAGAAGCAGGTGGCCTATATGTCAAAACAAATTGGCCCATGTTCCATCTCTGATCTACTTGAAAATGGCCCAGTAGTTCATAGTCATTTTGTCACCAAAGATGACAATGTAAACAATTTGCCATATATGTAGCATTAAAATCCTAATTACAGATATGGTCACAAGCTGCATTTTATATTTGCAACATAGTAAATGTTTATTATTATTAATTGAAATTATTGTGCTACATGTTTGTAGAAAAGTATTATATTACCTGCCTTATCAGTAAACCATATGATAATATCAAGTTTCTGCCATATGTATCAATGACATTAGTTTCACAGTATTTATATATCTATGTAATATGTGAAGCTATAAATAACTTTATTATTTTTATCTCAATCTATGCATTAGTTGTTGGAAAATTACAATTATATATAGACATGATGTGATTCACTCTCCCTGTTTTCCTGAGTTCAACAGGACATATACAGAATAGAAACTGCTAGGATAATTATTAGTTTTCCTTTTCTCTGGTTACAATCTGGCAGATATCTTACTGTCTGCCAGGAACTGTGTTAATAGCAGCCATTTCATTGCTAGTCAGACTCCTCAAATTAACCATTTGAGATTCCAGAATAAAGATATATACAGAATGAAAACGTGCATCTGGAATAAAATATGCCCTTGTTGAATATTAATAATTGATACTGTACTCTGCATTTAAGCATGTCTACCAGAAATGATTTTATTTAGTTTAACATTAATCCACATTCAAGCCATTTTTAGTTTGAGGAGAAAAGTATACTAACTAGCATAATTCTCCCATGCTCTGTGACAGGATTCTTTGCTTCAAGAGTTTAGGTAACATTTATAGGACTCTTAAACAAGGAAAAGATTCAGAATGTATCTTGGGTTAACAGAATTTGTTGAACAACCCAGTTGCCATCTCATTCCTCTTGGACCATGCCCCATGAGAGAGCCAATGCTTTTCCATCCCAATGATCTATAGGAGGTGGTAAGAGTGCCAGCCTTGGGTGGAATGGAATGGGGGTAGACCCTACTGTTCCTACAGGGGATATAAAGAGGAGATTGCCCTTTAGTCCATTCACTTTTTTTCTTTTGTCCTGACCTACTGCCCACCTTTGCAAGGAGCTTTTCCCAGGAGTTGGGAAAAGGCTTTAGAAAAAAATTCCTTGATATTATCAGTTAAATAAAATTTTAAATATGCTTCTAAATTATGTTTCAGGAGAGTTCAAAAAAGCAGGAGTTGCACTGATGCTATCAAGAAAAGCAAAAATAAAAATTCCCAATTTCAAGTAGATAAACAGAGAAACAACATTATTAGGAACAACATTAAAGGAACCATAGACAATAAATAAATATCTATACTGAACATATATGCACTGAATGACATAACATCTAAATCCTTAAATGAAAATTTAACTGGATTGCAAAAAGACATAGTAAATAATTGTCAGAAATTTTAATGTTCCTCTCTAGAGTGACACAAGTCTAAGAGAGAATGAAAAATTATAGAATTGAACTATTGGAGAATTTAGAGCTAAAAAGAATTACAGTGACTGTCGAATGGGAACACTAAAGAATTTAATACATATTTTTCAGCACTGCATGATACTGTAATAAAACTATACAAAATGTTAGGGTATGGAATATTTTAAATAAATGTAAAAAAGCAGAAATGCTAAACATATCCTTTACACCATAATGTAATAAAAATACTAATTAATATGCAGAACACAAGCAAAAGATAAAGACTTAAATGGAAACTTAATAATGACATTCTAAATAAAGAATGAGTCAAAGAACAAATTATAGAAGCAATAACTGTGTAAAAGAGTGATATTGATGAGAAAACATTCCACAATTTCTTGCATACAGCTTAGATGCAAAAGAAAATATTTATCTCTGAAAACATACATTAACAAAATAGAAAAAGAGGATTAATAAATTGAATATGAGATTTCATTTTGAATATGATTTCTAGTTTTAAAAACTAGAAAAATCAACAAACCCAAACAAGTTTATAAGAGCCCACACATTTTAATATAGTTCATTGAAGATCTGATGACAATAGATTTGGAGTTGGAGGATAAGAGTTAAAATCCAAGCTCCACCATTTATTAGCTACATAATACTGGCTAAATTATTTCCTCTCTCACAGACTTAGTTTCCTCATTTAAAAAATAAAGAGGTTGAACTAAATGATCTGTGGCCTTTTCCAGTTCCAGGTCCTGTGATCCCATGATGTACCTTATTCTATCAACTGAGCAGCACAAAGTAACACAAAAGGTTACAATGGTAATTTTAACCCAGCTATACAATGAGGAACCCCAAGAGCTATAGTTAGATATGTTTTGAATCATAAACCATATCATGAAAGAAATGTTCTTGTTTATGTTAGCTTTATATTCTGAACAACTGAGGTTGTTAATTTACATAATAAAGTTAATTTCTCCCCTGTCCAGGTGAATAAATGGGGATGGTGTAGCCAAAGGTAGTATGAAGATTTGAAGTTAGTTATGAATTTAGGCTTCTGGCCAGGCTTTTGTTCAAGTTTATATGGGAAATCCTTGGCCCTTATATTTATTATGTGTTTTTATTTTCTTAAGGCCCTGGAATTACTTACACCACAAGTTGCAGACAATGCAAGTGCAAGAATGAAAGCTCATGTGCGGCGTGGAACAGCATTCTGCCAACTAGAATTATATGTAGAAGGTAAGTATTTGATTTAGTAGAATTGGTCTTATTCCCAAATTAAATTTTGAATTATGTAAATCTTGATTTTAGAATAATGATTATTCATTTGCTTTTTGTAGTTGCCAACTTTTCTTCAAATACATTTTAGTTCAATTTAGTTTTTTAAGAAAACAAAATACAAATGAACAAAAAAATTTATATAAAAATATAGATAATAAAAACCTAGACTATAGCCAATAGTTATTTAGCATCTTTCTACAATGCAAAAAATACAAAGAAGGAAGTACTTGCCTTATTTGACCATAATCTGTACATATGTGATCAGATTGGATACAACAGAAAAATTCCACTACTCTGATTTGCCATATGGTTACTACTTTTGAAATGCTTGATTTGAGACAACCACATCTACAATCTACCCTCTACGTATAGACATGTAGGTGAGAAGAAATTAAATTATTATTCATAGAAACTCAGGTAATAATAACTGGCATTTATTTATATAGCACTTTATGCTTTACAAAATGCTTTATATACATCATCTCATATAAGTCTCACAACAGCTCTTTGAAGGAAGAGACTATAGGTCTTAGTGCCCCATTTTACCAAAAAAGGATATTAAGGGTCAGAAATTTGGTAATGATCACAAAGCTAAGTATCAGAGGTATGATTTGAAATCAGATCTTTGTGACTGCAAGGCCAGCAGTCTGTTTATCCCATGTTGCCTCCACCAACCCAAGGCAAAATTCTGAAAGAAGCAAAGTTTCTCTTTCAGAATGTTCTTCTTCTTCCTAGATGTGGTGTGGTTCAGTGGAAAGTGCTCCAGACTTGATTTCAAAAATACATGGGTCACAGTATGACCTTGGGTAAGTCATGTAACCACTGATTCCAATTCCTACATATCCAAAATAAGGTGACCAGATGGTCAAGTTACTTCTAGTTCTAGAGCTATAATCCTAGGATCCTCTGGCCCTTTTCCTATTTGTGATGTGGTACAGTGGAAAGACGATTGTGCTTAGATTTGGGAAGAACTGAGTTCTACTGTGACCTTAAGCAAGTCATTTAACTTATCTGGGCTTCAGTTTCCTCATCTCTAAAAGGAGAATAATATTTGTATTGCCTCCCTCAGAGGGATATGGTATAGAAAGCACTGTGTAGATGATAAAGTGAAGATAAAAAAATGTTAACTATTAATATTTTCTTTCTCCACAAGAGGTAATCAACCCAGGTAATCTGTCATTCAAATCCTACTCTGATACTGCCTCGTACTTTCTTTCATGTTATCCAGTTGAAATTTACTTGTTCAATAAACATTGATTAAGCATATACCATGTACAGGATACTGTGGTAATTGCTGAGAATACTAAAATTAAAAAGGTCCTTGCTTTCAAGGAACTTCTAATCTAATTTCAAAGAGGGAATGAATGCCACACATGAAGTAGGTATCATATAAGGTAGACTACGATAAGGGGATGGTAGAGATCACTTTCAGCAGGTATACTTAGAGAGGCTTCATGGAGAAGATAGTACCTAATGTGGGTCCTGACGGAAAAGGATTTTAATAGGTAGAGTTGAGGAGAAAGTATATTCCAGGCATGGAAGATGGCCTGCATCAAGGCATGGAAGCAGGATGGAGCAAAACAGTATCAGAGACAACTTAAGAATAGAATGAATAAAAACTAGAAAAGTAGATTAAAATTATTTGTGGAGAATCTTAATTTCCAACCTAAACTATTTCTCCAGTAGGGTAGTATGGAGCCACAGAAGGTTTTTAAGCAGAGATTAGACATGTATTAGGAAGGTCAGTTAGAGAAGGGAGAGGCAAAAGGCATGAAAACGAGTTAAAAGGCCATTATGTAAGTCCAGGTAAGAGGTAATAAGTTTTTGAACAAGGATGATGACAGTGTAAGTGGAAAAGAGGGAAGATATTTGAGAGATTGAGGAAGCAGACTTGAGATATATTGTGAGGGAGGATTTGACAAATGAACATAGCACAATAGGAAGAACACTTAATTTCTATTCAGAAGACCTATGCTGAAACTCTACCTCTGCTACTTAGTACTTTGTGTGATCTTGAATAAAACTTTTACCTCTCAGGGCAAAGGGAAAGGGAATAAGCTTTTTACAAATGTTATCTCATTTGGTCCTCACAACAACTGTGCGAGGTAGTGACCATTTTACAGATGAGGAAATTGAGGCAGAGTTTAAGTGAATTGCCCAGCATCACACAGCTAGTAATTATCTGAGGCCAGATTTAAACTTTTATTTTCCTGACCCCAGGCCCAGTGCTCTATCCACTACACTACCATCTGCCTCTGTTCCTTTGTCTGTACGATGAGAGGATTCAGCTATTTGATGATATCCAGCTCTAAATTCAACAGTTCAATTCCACAAGTATTTATTAAGTGCCTTTTCTGTGCCAGGGTCTGTGTTAGGTGTTGGGGATGCAGGAACAAAAAAGAAGCAGTACTTGCCCTCCAGGAACTTATAGTCTACTTGTAGGAAACAATATGTACACACATAAATCAATAAAAAATAAATACAAAGTAATTTCAGTGGTGGTCAGGCACTAACAACTTGAGAGAGTCAGGAAGAGTGTCATATGGGAGAGGGTATTTGAGCTGAGCTGAGAGGGAAGTTAGAGGTTCTAAGAAGTGGAAATGAGGAAGGAGAACATTTTGGGCATAATAGAAAGGACACCAAGAAAAAACATGGTATCAAAGGCACCAAGAAAGAACATAGAGTGTCCTGTGAGAAGAACAGGGAAAAGTCCACTTTAGTTGGATCATAGAGTACATGAGATGAAATCAGTCCAGAAAAATAAGTTGGAGATAGGATTTGAAGAGCTCTGAGTGCCAAAGAAGAAGATTCTAGAGGCAACACAGAACTACTAAAGCATCTTGAATGGAAGAGAGGCATAGTCAGACCTGGGATTTAAGATCATTAAGACAGCTATGTTGTTTGTGGATCAGAAAAGGAAGAATCTTGAGATAGGGAGACCATTTAGGAGACTATTGCAGTAGTTAAGGTGATACAGACTTTAGCTGGAGTGGTGGTTGTGTAAGAAAAGAAAGGGGATTCATATGAGAGTTATTACAGATAGAGGTAGAATTACTAAGAGTTGTAAACTGGCTAATAGAGTGAGAGAGAAGAATCAAGGATTACTGGAATGATACAGATGTTGAGAAGACTCTGTGTGTGTGTGTGTGTGTGTGTGTGTGTGTGTGTGTGTGTGGTGTGTATGTAAGAAAAATAACTGAGATTTGGAGTAGGAATGGAGAGGTTGGCTATCAAAATAAATAGAGGATTGGAGGAATTCAGAGATGTCACAGTAAGATCCCAAGAAAAATCTCAGTTTCCTCAGGACACAAATGAGATAACAAAACACTCAAATAAACAGGGTTAAAGGAGTGAAAGGAGGGCAATAAAAGGTTGGTTTTTTTGGTAAGGGAAAGGAAATTATCAAGCAGGAAAAGTACTATGAACCAGTTATTAAGGACTGAAAGTCACCAGGAGGAAAAAAAAATGAATTAAATTTAAAAACGACCTAAGAAATAAGGCTGTATCCAACATAACACATGCAAAAAAATTGAAAATTGAGAGGATCTGGTTATTAGTATAGAAAGAATCAGTATCTATATAAAGAGATCTATCATCAATAAGAACAGAATTTCAAATCGATAACAAAAATTAACAAGGAGAAAGCAGTGGAAAATCTGGATAAAAACATGAAATCAATAGGAGATAAATTTGTCAGGACTTGAATGCAAAATCTGCAGAAGCAACTGAACATGTAGCAAAATATTATTGAAGATCAGCTCAATCAGAAAAAAGAAAGCTGGAAAAGTACAGTCAGACTTGACAGCACTAGACAACTGAACTCAGACATACCAGTAGTTTTCAGATTACCTGAAGAAAAAAAATGCCAAGAGTTTAACTACTTGAGCAACAAGGAGTTGCTCAAGAAAATTTCCCAGAAGTAAGATCAAGACATGGCCTAAAGATCAATAGAATTTAACTGAAACTTTCAGAGACAAATAGTAGATTCATATCACCCAGACACATTGTTATTAATTTCCAGAGCTTGATCAATAAAGATTTAATAAACATCTAAGAAGAAAAACTTCACTTATCAAGGAGCTGTTGAGGTTTAGAGAGTTAGGGGTCCTGGGACTCCAAAATCATGACAGGCAGGTCCTGCCTGAATGAATTTGACCCAAGCCTTCTTTCAGCCAAAGTCAACATTTATTAAAGACCCACCATATTGGCCAGACTCAAGGAATCTGAATGTTTGTAAGCTATTGGCTAGATTTTAAGAATCTGAGCCCTTGGCTAGGTTCTGAAGGAATCTGGGCATCTTAATGGAAACAAGATGAACCTTATATACAGAAAGACTGTGGAGGGGATCTAGGAGTGGTCAAGTAGTTTGGGGTCACTGGGGGGTCTGGGAGAAGGGGTGTCTTGATGGGAGTGGCCAGTAAGCTGGGGTGACTGGAGGAGGGATCTAGGGAAGATCTTGATGGGAGTGACTGGGAGGTAGAATGGGGTCTAGATAGGATCAAGGGTAGGAAGTGGGGGGGGGAAGGGGAACACATCCATAAGGGTAACAAAGAATTGGGAGATTGCATAAGTGATAAGGAAAGGCCAGTTGATAGGATTATAGCCTCAGGCAATGCTAGAGACTTCCTTGTGGGAAAATCCTGGGCTTTTCCTCCTTGGGGTCCAGATCCCAAAGACCTGGTCTTTTCCTCTTAGGGGTTCAGATTCCATTCCCATCATTCCCCCCTCAAACAAATTCTATTGGGTAAGGGGCAAAGATCTCAGCTTGGGCCTGTACCCTGTCAGAACCATCATTGAAATAACAGGATTATTAATCCATCATGAGAAAGCACACAAAAAAACTAGAATATAATTTACAAAAAAAAAAAAGTTAAAGGAAACGAGGCTTTATCCCATAATCTTTTATCTTGCTAAGCTAATATTTGAAAATAAAAAATATATACATTTTAAATTCCCTA